AGCACAAATCAAAGCCGTAAGGGGGTACCACATCACACCCATTAGCATGACTACTATCAAGAACCCCGAACAGCTAATGTTGGTGAACATATGGAGAAACTGGAGCCCTCGTGACTGCTTGTGGGAATAAATGGTGCAGCTACTATGGAAAACAGTATGGAGGTTCCTTAAAAAACTAGTAACAGAACGATCATATGATCCAGCAATCCCACTGGGTATGCACCAAAAGAAACAAAAGAGATACTTGCACACCTATGCTTAGAGCAGTATTATTCATGATAATCAAGGGATAGAAGCAATCCAAATGTCCACTGACCGGTGCACAGATAAAAATGTGGTCTGCACACACAATGGATTATTATTCAGCCTTAAAAAATGAAATTCTGACATGGGCTACAAAATGGACAAACCTTGAGGGCAGTATGCTGAGTAAAATAAAAGGTACAGAAGGACAAATATTATAGAATTCCACTTATCAGAGGAACCTAGAAGAGTCAAAATCACGAACAACAATAAAATGCAGGTTGCCAAGAGCTGGGAGGAGGGGAACTGGGGAGTTGTTTAATGGGTATAGTTTCAGTTTTGTAAGATGAAAGATTTCCAGCAATTGGTTGCATGATAATACAAATATACTTTTAACACTACTGACCACACACTTAGAAATGGTTAAGATCATACATTTTATGTTGAGTTTTCTACCCCCTCCATTTAAAAAAATTTATTCACTGTATTCAAAATATCTTAACATGTATTGGGTTTGCCAAAAAGTCTGTACGGTTTTTTTCTATAAAGTAAAAGACACATTTTTCATTTTCACCAGTAACTTTATTGATTTGGATATTTTGAGTATGTCGGCTATCTCCCTTGAAGTATAATTTGAGTGTTCTCAATTAATGTGACAATTTGATTGCTATCAACTTCCACTGGTCTACCTGACTGTAGAGCATCATCCAGTGAGAAATCTCCAGCACAAAACACCCCAAACCACTTTTGACACCTTCAAGCAGCACCTTCTCCATACACTGCATCAATCTTTTTTTTGCACTCCAGTTGTGTTTTTACCTTTCTTGAAATAATAAAGCATAATATGCTAAAAGTGTTGTATTTCCTCCCATCTTCAATATTAAAATGCCTACTCCAAAACTCAGCAATTTTGGTAAATTTTTTAAAAAATGCATGCAGATATGACAGCTGTCACAATGCAATAGAACAAAATTGTTTCTCATGAAGTTAAAAACAACTAAGCACTATTAGGGCCATCTTACGGGGGAAGAACAGATAACCTTTTTGGCCGACCCAATAATTAGTATGAAAATGACTGGGGTATTTCATCCTTGTGTTCAAGTACTAAGCCTTAAATTCTCACGTGAACTGACACTGTCAGCACATCTGACTTGGATGAGGCTCACCGGAAGGCTCAATGCCCACAAGTGGCTTACCTGTGAAGCCTATGCCGAGCTCCACCTGATCTGTCACTCCTACGTGACAAATCTAATAGCTAGATCCAAATAACTAAAAATATTTGGGGAGGGGGAAGGGTCTTTTTCTTGCTACCAGACATTTTTGGACATGCTGTTATTGTTCTGTCAGCTCCTTGGAAAGGCTAATAAATAGGCAAATCTTGAATACCTCTGAACATCTCTTGAGTGTCTTCAGGTCCTCAGGATTTACAGGACATCATGCCTCCCCTCAGAGCTCACAAACTAAAAAACCAGCTAAGAGGAGAGCATGCAGAACCCTAAAGGACACAAAGGACACAACTCCTACATGGAATTCTGATGTGCCAGGGCCAAGTGTAAACTGTAAGGAATTTACCAATATGGCATGTGGGAGTTAATTATTGGCATTCACCCCTATCCTGACCTTTCCAAATCAATTTGTACTGCCAACAGCATCGACTACACCTTCTAAGTGGGACTCTGCTCAGCATTTAGTGCACAATTTGCATTAAAACAATTCGGTGAAAGCACACTCAACAGAAAAGGCCATCAACACCATGAGTGGTTTTGATTAACATCATCAGTTCTCCCCTAAGAGCGTCTGTCCCCTTCTTCCCAGAAAGGAGACTAAAGTGAAAAAATGACTTCTCACAGATATTCTTTGAAGGTATCATCAGAAATATTAGAGACATAGAGGAAAACATGAAGGTGCTTCTGATACAGACATCGAACTGCTGTGCGTCCCACACACAATGCACTTTTTCTCAGTAGAACAGAGATGCAGGAACATTAACATACACTGCTCTCTGCCCAAAGCTGTGGAACAGAAAGTGTCTGCAGACACTGATGCTCCTGGCTAAGGAGAATCCCTTCATAATCTCCCAATTGTACCCCACTGGTGGAAAAGGATCATAAAGGCTTCTATGTGAAAGACATATTTTGCATAAATTGTCAGCAGCTTCATTGACAATCTTAATGGGTATGACTGAGTAAGGAATACTGAATATGGCCAAAAAGAAAAGAACCAAATCTACCAACTCAGCAAACTTCACTCACCTTCAAGAACTGAATGAACTATTTTAAGAATATCCAGGAAAATGTTACAGACTACGTAAGATGGTAAACGTTATTCCACCCAACACATTCACATCTGACTGTCATTTCTTCCCACCCACCCCAAGCTTCCCCTGCTCAGTCCCTCCCCAACTCATCTCCCAAGAACTAATCTTGAAAACTTATCTTGGACATTAACTTCAGACCTGCTCCTTGTAACTCATCTTCTTAGCTTCCCAGCTAAGAGGGGAGCATGCAGGACCCTAAAGGACACAAAGGACACAACTCCTACATGGAATTCCGATGTGCCAGGGCCAAGTGTAAACTGTTAAGTAATTTACCAATATAAGCAATTTAATCCCATGCTTTCAAATTATCACACCAAACTAAGGAAATGTAGTTAATGTTATAAAATTACACCTCAGGATCCATTACTATACTTCACTGCATAACCATAACTTTGCTTAACAACTTAAGATTGTGATCTCTAAAGCTCTCCATCTGTCATCTCAAGTAACGGTGCTTACACCTAGTAATTAGCTCTCTAATGAGTATGTCACCAAGAAAGCACTCATGCCACCCTTACATTAAAAAGCATGCTGACTCACCCTCTACCTGGTTAACGGGGAATAAGAAACTATTTCTGTGCAATAAGCCAACACCTGCACAGACTGGTTTGGTCTGTAGTGAAAAACTGTAAAACCTTTTGAAGGATCCTTAAACACGTAGGTTTTTAAACACATATACCACTGAGCCACGTTAATTCACTAAGTGAGCAAGGATGCTGTGGGTTCATGTACTCAGGATTATTTCCATGGACAGACAAACAGTTGCAAGCACCAAGACCTTCTAAGGCTGAAATGAGTTCAGGAGCCATACCAATAGCAACAATTAAAGGCAGTTTAAATAGCAGTAATAAAATTTCTGGCTCCTTGCCCTAAGGAGGAACCCTAATAAAGGCAGTCATCCCCTGGTACCCTTGGGGTTCTAGGACTCTTGGGGATACCAACAGCCACAGATGCTCAAGTTCCTTATACAAAATGGTGTAAACATAATACTGCACATGCCCAGTATTTGCATGGATGTGACAGCAGGGTGTACCTGCACATCACTTCATGCAATGTGTCACGTATGAAAAACTCAAGATTCGATTTTTGGAAACTTTTGGGTTACCCCTGGCAATGGAGGATCCACCTGCAGTTGGTGATTCCTCAGATGTGAAACCCATGGATATGGAGGGTCAAGTGTAGCTGCTAATGTTTTTGTCATTTGTATCTGCCATTTCCCAGGTGCGTGCCTCTGACAAGTTACCAACTCTTTATGGTTCTACCGTTCTCTGTGACCTGGGGATGGACGTGCACCATTCTCACCTTACTGCAGGTTATGAAGACTGAGCCCTACAGAATCTGCAAGTGCAAGATTTGTCATTGTGTTCCAACAGTTAAGTGTCTCCTCTGGTGACTGTGTCACTTAGGTTTTAATATAATCACTATTGAATTTTTAAATCAATAATACTGCCAACTTGCTTGTATCTTGTCAAAACAGGAAGGACTAATCTGGACCAATGGTAAAGAACCAGCTGAAACCTGATGAAGACACAAGCCTTTCCCATCAGTGGTAACAGTGATTTGAACCCACCCCCTTACTGCTCACACTCAAAGTCACATGCCAAGGGTCAAGCCTGTAGATGTTTTTATCTCACTTGCATAGTGTTTTGAAAGTGCTAAACTAGTTGCCAATGCTTAAAAATCAGGACATTTGGCATCAAAATCTACATTCTTGAATTACCTTGCAATATAGGAAAGAGATCTACCACTTAGACCACACACCTTCAGGGCCACAATGGCGGGGGGGGGGGGGGGTGGGCACAAAGGCTCTCCAGTTTAAGTTTACTCCAATCTCACCAGGTCAGCTCTCTCAGTATTTCTGAGGATTGGTGTCTGCTACTCCTGGTTCAGACCCTGAAACTACTTTTCACCCCTGAAATAAAAGCCCACAATCTAACTTTATTAGGGCTATGTCCATACTCTCTGAGAAACAAAATAAGCCCAAAGAATTTGAGAATGTAAACCATGTTCATGTCTCTATGTTGACACTAACTGTATGTCAGTTTTGAAAATGATTAACCTGTTTCATCGTTCTTCACACTTTCAGTTACATTAAGCTATATGAAGTAAATGAGTCCCTTCCAAGTAGAATGTCATTAATAAGTAAATCTTAGTAATTTACTTAAGTTTATGCCACATCATACACTTAATGACAGCAGCAGGGACTCCAGCTTTGCTGTCTAATAAGCTGATGCTTGGACCTCAACTTATTGCTACCACAAAACTTGGCGGTATTAAAAAAACGGGTGTTTTGATATTTCATTTGATGTATCCACCATTCCCATAAGAATATGGAATGAATCAGCCCAAGGATTCAAAAATGAGCTAGAAATGTCACACACAACCTTTCATAGATAGTCAAACAACACAAGTCCACTGCCTCTTACCCGGAACTGCTTACCCATTGCATTGAGATAATGGTTGAAGGCCTGGCAAGGAGGGCTCGGGGTTTGTGTTGCTTTATCACAACTCATGGGTGCTGGACTCCTGTCTGTGTCAAAAGAGAAATACCCGCTGGAGGATCGAGACAGCAGAGAGGATCTTCTCACAAAGATGAAAAGCGGGGATCTGGTAGCAAAAGGCCCCGGACTGGCCGGTGGGGCCAGCGGGCCCTGAGGGCTGCCGTGGGGGCAGCGGTCCCCTTCGCCTTCAGGATTACCTTGTGTCTCAATGTGTACAGAGGTGGGAGCCCCAGGCCTGAGCTGAGGAGGCCTCTCCGCAGGCTGTAATTGTCCACCTTCTCTGTTACACTTAGAATTTACATCAGAAGGCTGTTTCGCCATTTGGTCTTTTTTTCTGCAAGTAAAATAAAATCTAAGATTATTTTAAGCAAAATAATAATCACAAACAACTATGTTAGCTAACTTTCAACTACTCATTAAAATCAATACCAAATACTTTAACAGTAACTCATTATTTTGTATATTTTACAATCTTTCAAGTAAGAATAAAAATAAGCCTAAAATAACACAAGTATTATTATTTATGGGGGGGGACTTAACTTCCAGCCACTAAAAACACTGTGACAACATCAATGACTTGTGGGGCTGGTGCTGGAACACAGACAAGTTTTGGGAGAGGGATGGTTTCTGAGGTCTATTCACAGAGCTCTGCTCAAAGCCGACTGGACTAAGCCAGAACACCCGGAGGACTCCGATTCCCTGGTTCCCGGGATTAGACCCTGGGCTTGGGGCACAGGAGAGTGCACAGAGGCAGCGACTGTAGGCAGCTGGCCGCGTTCCCCGCTCCAGCCCCATTGTTCTGCCGAAAGTGCTGAGGGCAGCAAGTCTGGGGAGGTTTGGCAAGGGCCGTCCGTCGTAGTAAGTGCGTCACAATAGAGTTTGTAACTCCGAGCCCGCTCACCCCGCTCTGCTCCCGCCCGCCCGTCCGCGGTCCCTCGCGCGGGGGCAGCAAGACGAACCCACCCAGCAAAACTTCCACCCAGTCCACCCGCAATGTTAGATGAACACCTCTCCAAATAGGGGGTCCCCGAAGCCGACCCCAGGTGCCCCGGCAAGTCAACAGGAGCCCAACATGCTAGATACCCCCGGCGCGCGATCCCTTCACCCGGTAGATCCTCCCACTCCCCGCGAGCAGGCCGAAACTCACGTCCGCCCCTTCCCTTCCCAGCGTCGCGTCCGGGCCCGGGCCCCGCGGCGTCCGGCCCGCAACTTTCGCCGACCTGGAGCCCCCAGACCGTCACCAAGGAGGCGGCGCACAAGATAAAGCCCGGGAACCGCGCTCAAAGGTCGCGGGGCGGCGCAGAGGCCACAGCTGGCCGCGCGCCTCTCGCCGCGCTCCGCCCGGGCGCCAAGGGCTCCGCTCGCCGCGCCTGTGTCCCGCACTGCCCCGGCCGCCGCCGCAGCCGCCGCCGGGAACATCCTCCCCTCCGCCGCTCCTCCCCTCGCGCAATGCGCCAGCCGCCGCCGGCTCCGCCACCTCCCCGCGCGACTGGCGCCGGTGTCCGCGCTCCCGATTGGCCGGTGCGCACACGCTCCGTGCCCCAGCCAATCGTCGGCCCCGGCGGGGGCGGTGCCTACCGGCCAGGCAGCGAGAGCCTTAGGGATTGTTGACAAATACGCCTCTGAGCGCCTCGCGGGCCGTGACGGCGGTGGCTTCAAGAGCTCGGGACTCCGGGCCCGAGGCCTGGGCGGCCCGGCTACCCGGTCTATGCCTCTGTCCACCCCGATGCCACGCGCGCCTCAGTGGCTCCTGCAGCCCAGAGAAGCCGGTCACCTGAGACAAAGCAGGAGCCGCATGTGGTCCTCAAACCCCGGTCTTTGCCGCTGGCCGCCACCCCCCGCTCAGGTTCTCCTAGAGGCCTCCCCTTTCCCAGCCACAGCACCCATCCAACTTCCTCCCACTTCCTACCGTGCGCCGGGGCCACGCACCAAATCCGATCCGCCAACCCCGCGGGGCAGGGTACGGCAAGCAGCAAGCGAGGGGTCGGACTGAGCTTGGGCATGCCCGAGTCGCTAAGACCGCCCAGCCGGCCCCAAGGACAGAACATGTCTGCTGCCCGCTCTCGTCCGCCGTGTCGCCCCGGCGGTGGAGGTGGCCCTTGGTTTCTCGCTGTTCGTGGCTATTGAGCCTGGCATCGTTCGCAGGACGCTCACAGAAGAAGCAGGGCTCCCGGACACGTCCGAGAGGTGGACGCAGCGGCTGCCCCTACCCCTCTGCCTGATGTGCACAAGAAAAAGCCGAATCTAGTCAGTTAGTCCCCAGCACAGTTCCGCAAATACTCTGGATCGAGCCCGCGCGCCCGAGACTGGCTCGTACCGCGCGGCGCGAGAGACTTCTCGGCCGGGCACGCAGCTCACACAGAGAAACAGCCTCAGATACAGAGACGACGCGGAGAGCGCGCACTGCTGCCTCTCCAGGGGCCCAAGAGGCTGCACCACCCTGCGCGCCGCGACGCGGTCGGGTGCGCACTTCCACTAAGTACTAGCCGTCTCTGTGAGGACGACCCTTCCCAAACTGGACCTGCCTGGGTAAAGGACCCGATCGACTCTGATCGCTGCTTTCCCGCCGGGTCACAAGCTGGAGGGCGACGTGTTTCTCCGCCAGCACGTGCGCGGGAAGCGGGCAGGAGGTGGAGCGTGTGGCTCCAGCGCCAGTCATCCACCCGTCCCGCCCCGCGCCCGGGGTCCGTAGGTATTTACCTTGCGTTTCTCAGTCCGAGAATCAGAGTCAGACATTGGGGGAGCACGGGCCAGGGGAAGTCGCCGAGGTGGTGGCGGCGGGAGCGGGACGAACCTAGCAACCCAAGGCGATGCTGGCTCCAGTGAACAAGGAGCGCCGCGCGTCTGCGAGGACTTGGCGGCAGTGGCGGCGACACTGGAGCAAGCGGTCAGACGTGCTCCAAACTCGCAGGCTGCCAGAGCGAAGTGAAACTTGCGCGCCCCAGCAGCCCAGCGCCGGGCCTGCGACTCTGTACCCGCGCCCAATCACCGTGGGCCCCGCCCCCACCAAGGCCCGCCCCGCTCTCCCCAGCTTGGCTCCCAGGCGCTGTGGTCCCCGCCCCTTGGCTGGGCAGCTCCTGCCTTTGCGTCTGAGGCAGGTAAAGGACCCGCGCACTGCGCGCGCCGCTCGCCCAACAGCAGCCGGGCGTGTTTACCGAGTGACTCCGGCTGCCGTCGGCCCTGTCACCCATCCCCCACCCCAATGTGCATCCTTGCCTCACCACTACTCGGTAGCGGCCGTGGCGTGCGCGTGGAACAGAGGGGGCGCTCCGGGCACAGACCCCGCCCGGCCGCTGCCTCCCGCAGAGGCTGGGGAGGCGGCCTTGAGCCTTGAACCCGCTTCTGGAGTTTCAGCGGTTCTGTAGCAGGCGCGAGGACGGGTTGGTCCCCTAGAACGCGCGGGTCCACGGTGGAGTAGGGCGCCTCGGCGCGATCTCCACTCCGAGTCCGGGCTTCTGGCGGGACCCGGTCTTCAGGCTGCTCATCTTCCCCAGGGGCGCCCTCCTCATGCCACTCGCAGGGCCGCCTAGCTTTTCTCTTGGTCCGCTAAGCGGCGGAGCCCTTTCTTAGTGGGCAGAGCCTAGAACAGGGCGCAGAGCGATCCCCAAGGCCTCTTTCCGAAGCCCGGGTGCGAGACGGGAAGCGAGCGCACAACTGAGTAGGTAAAATAGGGAAATAATAAAATAACTTAAAAAAATCCTTTTGAGAAAAAAAACGAAAAGAAGAAGATGCACGGCCTCCAGGTGGGAGAGAGGGTGGTGCCTCCGCTGAGTTGGGATCCCCATGGCTCTTTGCGCTCAGGGAACCGTCCCTCGGCACGCTGAGGCTGGTGCGGGCGGCCTCGGGGGCCAAGCGTGTGTAGAGCGCAGAACCGCCCGCCCCTCAGTTCTGCGCACCTTATGTCCTTCCTCCTTGGAATCTGGGGCCCCACTCCCGCTCCTTCCCGCGCGCCTCTGGTGTTTCTCGGGGTCCGCACCCTCACCTGTCTTCTTAGTGCCTGTCCTGTGCACTCCCTCCCTGCGCTCCCTGGGCTTTGGGACACCGCCACGCGGGAGCGGCGGTAAGGTCAGTCAAAAGAAGGGACATTTCGCCGCGGGGGAGCCCCTGGCTAGACGGATTTCTAAAAAACCTCAATTTAGGAACCGCCCTAACCAGCACCCCGGAACGAAGGGACGGTCCTCGGCGCTGTCCGCCTTGGTCAGTTTTTATTTGTAAGCAGATGTAGAAGGGCAGCGTGACAGCATAGGCCCGGATTATAGTCTCAGAGCATACCTCGGCGAGTCCCGAGCGAGTGGCCGGGGATTGGGGGTGTGGAGATTTTGCTGCAGGAGGGAAAGGACGAGCGTGGACACGGCCAGGTAGACGCAGAGGCCGGGGGTCTATCCTGACTGCGGCTTGGAGCACCAGCTCGGGATCGTAGGTGGCGGTCGCAGGGGAACTCTGCGCGGTAGTCGCTTGGCATGACACCGGGAACCAGCCACCAAACCGACAACGCCCGCTACGAGCACTAACCTGCTGCGAGCCCATGTTCTCCGCGCTTTCCGTGGGCTTGGGCGAGGCAGGCAGGGCCGGAAAAGAAGCGCGCAGAAGGAAGCCCTGAGGGTGTCGTCTGCTCCGGTGCAGCCCCGCCGCCCCCGCGCCGCCCGCTCTAGCGACCCGGTGAACAGTTTAAAAAACAAAGGTGCAGAGAAAAGCAACCTGTTAAGAGTTCTATGTGGCACACAACCAGGAGGTCGGCCCGGAGGTGGCTGTTTACGCCGCCGAAGCGGTGCTGGGGAGCTCGGGCCGAGGGTTCCGCTCCGGTGATCGCAAGCCCTTCCTAACCAGACCCGCGGAGTCCGGAGGTCCTCCCGAAACCGGCCTTGCCCAGAGGACGGGCAGCACGAGAAGGGCGTTAGGCATCAGGTCTCTGCTCCGGTCACGGATGGCGCCCTTGAGGACATGGGTGGAGTGGAGCGGTGCCTCCACGACAAATGGAGCGGGAGGACGGAGGATATCTGGGATCAGAAGGGCCACGTGGATCTGAGACAGAGGAAGTCGGCGACCCTCGCCAGGCACTCGGGTGTCGCTGGGGAGGTCTCTCCAAGTTCCGAAACCTACTTACTGCATTGTATTGCCCGGCCGACCTCCCCGTCCTCGGCAAGCCGCGAGAGAGCCTTCAAGTCGTTTCTTTTCTTTAGGAAACGCTGTATATGCGATTCTAGAGAACTTAGTATACAGGTGCGTTTAGCGAAAACGTTTTCCACGCGCTGTCCTGCGGCGGGAGTGCTGCAGCCCTGTGGGGGATAAGTCAAGCGTGTGCTTTGCGGAGCCAGCCACGAGTGCAGGCTCCTATGCAGCCGCGTGTTTCCTCGCAGAGTCCGGGAGTCTCTGACTCACTGGAGCCACTCGCTCGCTGAGCTGAACCTCTGCCCGCGGGTGTTTGATTTCTGTGCTTTGATTTTTTTTTTTTTAACCCAGCCCGACAATTGTTCAAAATCACTGGGAATCTGAGTCACCGCTGCCAGCGGGAGACCTTGGGTGGCACTGGTCGGTGGGGCGCGTTCTCAGGAAGCCCACTCTGTTGAGGGGGCCCTCAGAAGCCGGAGACGTGGTGCGGGCGGTCAGTTACAGGGAGGGTGCACGCAGCATGCACTCTCGGTGACAGCCCGGCGCGCGCCTGGGAGGGACCGGGCTCCGTGGTCTCCAGACTGCCCGCCCGGCCTCCGATCCAGCTCGAGTGACCGAGAAGGGGCGCGGTGGCAGCTGCAGGCGGGCAAACACCCTGCAGCCGCGCCCGCTACAACTTGGCTTCAGGGTTGGGAGAGTGTGCCCCTTCCTGGGCTGGGGGCTGCCGCGGCGCGGGGTAGAAGGCCCAGGTGGCCAGTGGGTTGGTGATTCCAGCGACTGGCGCCTGCGGGTATGTATGCAGAGTGTTAAAGACAGAGATAACCCTCAGGGCATCATCCTTCACCGAGTCACAGAAATTCAGCACTGCAAAATACGACACAGAGGAATAGGTCTTATGCTGGCTCACTCTCAGCGTCTGGATGCCCACCCCGGAGCACCTGTATACCCAGAGGTCGAATTTCCTGGGACCCGGAGGGTAAAGGCTGTCGATTTTGAATAACCCGAGCAAGCCTTTTTCATTATAGAAATTCCTAACTCGGTGACACCTAGTCTGGAGGAAACCCACTTATTCCGTAAAGGACTGGGGGTGGACTCCAAATCAGCTGGGAGCTTCAGAGCTGAGCCTGAAAATGTATTAAATTTCCCCATCCTCACCCCACTCCCGCAGCTCTCTCCCTCCCTCCCCTCCCTTCCGTAGTGCCTGGGGTGCCACCCTCTGGCGTGCACAGGCAAGTGAACTTGCTGAACGGGAGAGCAGTAGAACTGCAGACACCTGCAGGGTTCTCCCCAGCAGAGCCTCCGCTTCAATCCCTCTGCCCACCCCCACCCCTCACACGCTGGCAGCAGGCCACCATTCCTGAAACGTCTGGCAGTGGTGTGACTGCTGGGGGTTGGAGGAGGCAATGGCAACTTTGTGCATCTTCCACATGGCTGCTAAGGAAAATTCACCACCTTCAGTTAACACCAAGGAGCCTCGCTAATGCCCCCCACCCCCGCCCCCCCAGCTCTGCCTCCTAACAACCATTGGATGGCAGGATAAAGACATCCCAGCAGAAGGGAGAAGATGCAGGCCAATGATTTTGGAGACACTGCACTGGGTGTATTTTATTTCACTTTCCATGGTTTTGATGCCAGTGCATTTTTTATTACTTGAAAAAGACTCCCCAAAATAATAGATTGCTTTTCTAAAACTCAACAAGGTCCAACAGAGGGACTGCCCTCCTTTCCAATAACCAGCTGCACACGCTACTCTCCCTTTTTCAAGTTTTCAGTCAGCCTTAAATTTCTTTCACTCACCAAATTACAGTTCACCCCGGGTTTTCATGGTTTACATTTATAGTTTTAAATATGTCACTTAACCAGCTGCACCTTTGCCCTCATGGGAGTGGCCATCCTTAGGCAGCACTCATGCTGGTAAGACCCTGGTCCCTTTGCAGCAGCCCAAAATGCAGTTTCAGGGGCTCAGAGAAGGGGGTAGGGGCAGCCACAATGGGAATGGGGGCAGCATAGGGAAAGAGCATAAATTTTAATAGTCCAACAATAACTCTTCCCTTCAAATACGCTCTGTTACATCAGTAATTTCTAATGAAAACCTTCATTCTTTATGCACTGTGGTTAAGCACCATCAAATCAGTACTGAAAAAACTTTGATCATATTTGCAAGATGCACTGTGATGAACTTTCGCTGACCAAGATTTCAAAGTTTGTAATTAATACTCTTGACAGCTCCCTGACTAATCTGTCAACTTTCAAAGTCTTTAACCACAAAGTTCAAAACCATGAGATGGGTAGTCCCTATACCTTCCACATATTGTGATATCATTATTCAAGATAATTTTTCCTGTAGGTTTGCATTAGGAAACTCAGCCAATTTTTGTCATATATTCAGCAGGGGAAATTCAGTGATTTGGATGAGTGTTGTATAGAAAAGTATGGGTTTGGTCTGAATGGTGCCAGTCACAGAGTAAGTGTCCAGAGGTAGAAATTACTGGAGGCAGATTTCTATTCAGTATTTTCACAGCTTTAAAAAAGAGAATAAAATAGACTAAATTTAAAAATAGGGAATCAAATGGCTGGTGCAGAAGAGGCTTGCCTCACTTGCATGCAGTTAGGGAGTTAACCCCTCCAGCGGCATTCTGAAGAGGAGTGCAGTATTAGTGGGAAAGGCCAGGCATTGATACAAAGATTTTTTCTAAGCCTAAATTCTAGGGCCATCTAAAATACTCCTCCTCTTGCATTCTCTGTTTCTCACAGGTGGCAATAGGAACCCTAAAACAATTAGGGTCTAGATGGAAGGACTGGGCATTATTCCTGTTGTAACTCATTTCACACTGATCCCATGTAATCTGCTTCTGCCAGTGGGGATGATGATGATGATCATCCTTTCACTTACGCATTATGCACTGGGGTCCTTGCCTGCATTAGGGACCATGCAGGGCCCTGGAGACTTGTGGTATGCACTGTAGGACTTTTTACAAATATGATCTTAATACAAAATAAGTAAGCTAATGTAGCATTGACTACTATACAGTTACAGCATTTTTTATTACCAGGGAGTCCTTTAGGACTAACCAAAGTACTATGAAAGTTTAGTTTTCTTACCAAATATACACTTCCATACAAGTATAAAAATGGTGCATATTATAGGCCCCTCACCCTGCCTACCAGTATGTGACCCAGTTACGGTAGGCAAAGAGCCCCAAGCTGACCACCTCTTTACAAGGAAAATTATGGTGAATAGCTTTTGAAAAAGCATCAACAAAGAGGTTCTTTTCCAAACAAAAGAACATGAACAAGTTATACATTTTTGTAGAACATTTTAAAAAGGACAGACCCAAAACAGAGACTTTTTGCTTACTTGTATTTCTATAAAAACAGCAAGAACATAAGAGCCACTGGAACTTCCCAGTGAGTGGAATTTGAGAATATCTACTTCAAAAGCAAAACAGCCCACACAGGACAGTATGTGGGTATGTTAGTATGTGGGTTTTCAGGGGGAGATTTATAACATCATTTTGGCTTCCCACTCCTGAGTTGCAGCAGGTTATTTCTTTTCCTCCTCTTTTTGAATCTCCCTGCATTTTCTTTGTTCTGGTTGGGAAAGTAGGATGGCCCAGGATGGGTGATGACTGAGCTTTGCAGCCTTCTGAGCCATCCCCATTCTTCCACAATGCTCTGGGCGAGAGGTGCCCAGTGCACTTGCAGCAACATCCCAGCTATATTCCCAGGACTCTGTGTACAAGGTGTCCCTTCTTTTTCTATTGTTCCATACCTCTGTTCATGTAAAGTAACCCCAATGTGAAATGTCCCTCAATAAACTCCTTTCTTGCCCAAGCTAGAAGGATATAGGCTTCCTCCATCCCCTGCATCCAGCTGCCTGTAACTTTCCTTGACCGATACAATGCAGAGGAAGTGACACAGTGTGAATTCCAGAGGTTGGGCCTTCAGAAGCCTTGCAACAGTCACCTTGCTCTCCTAAAACCATAAGGCCACTTGCTGGGCAGGAGCCCAGTCTAGCCTATGGGAGGATGAAAGGCCATGTGGAGAAGGACCAAGGGGCCAACAGCGAGGCGTGCTGTCAGACATGAGAGTGACATCATCACCTTGGACTGCCTAGTTCTGTTGAACTACAATGACCTCAGATACAGTGTGACTGCAGAACTTGGTCCAGTCCTGTTTCTAACAAGACCTGGAACCAAAGTTTCAACCTTGGACATACCACTTACAAGCAACACTTGTGAACACCACTTACCCATAACACTGGTGAACCCTTAAAACCCTACTCTGAATCCTGGAGCAGAAGAGACACCTGAGCCTTGTGTCCTGTCTCCTTGCAAGATGACTCCCAAATAAAGCTCCTTTCTTCTTTCAAAAGCTAGTGTTATGCCTGTATGTGCAGTGGGCAGTGGACCCTTGTTCTATAACAATTGAGTGGCTGGACCTAAGACTAGCTGAAGAACTGCCCAGGTTGCCTACCCATGGAACTGCAAGAAGTAAGCAAGTGTTACTTACACCACTGAGTTTTCGGGTGGTATGTACACAGCAATCAGTCACTGAAACAGATGCCCACCTTAACATTCAAATTGGCATTCAATGGGGCCATCATCAGCTGCACTTCTGCCACTTAATTACCTGAGGACAATTCTATAATCACGCAACTAAAGCAGGTGATAGTGAAGTGAAGCTAGCTGATGGGCTTAACTGTAAGAGACCATTTCAGTCCTAATAGAGTAGTTTGCAAAGCCATAGGGGTGTCCAGATAGTGGGGTACCTGGGAGAGAACTTGAATACTGGGCTGGAAGTCCCCCTGCAGGCCACTGTGTGCCCCACTTCCCTAATCCATCAGTCTTTCTGCCTTACAAACCAACAATCCACCAGTCCTTTGCATGTTTCTGAGGGGCTTAACCTCCAACAAAAACACTGAGTAAAAACAAAGTATCAGGGATGAGAAAGAAGGCAGAAAATATTTGCAACCAGGGATCAAGCCTTAAACACGCCTAGGTCCTCCTGTACCATCAGCAGAGAGAAACAGCGGGGGCCTGGTCACACTAACTTCAGTCAGCTGGTGTGATGGGAGGGACTGGCACATACCTCTTTGTCACTTTACTTCACTGGAGCTGCAGCATTTCTCTGCTCCCAGGGATTTCTTAAGCAAGGGTACAAGGGTGGCCAAAAGGGGTTCACCTCCAAGCCCCGGGGTCTGTATGCTGTAGCATATTGGTACCCCTCAGAAATGGTGGAGAGGGCGGAGTGAGGTATTGATAATTATGTAAAGGCCACATGGACAGCTGCCAAAGGCAGCAAAACAGAGGGTTGTCGACTCATGTTCCCTAAAATATCATCATCAAGGCTTTAAAAGGTTTGCAAGAAACCCATAAGCAGTGAGTTCCTACGTGAATCCGTCCGTGAGCACGGACACCTGGGGGCAGAGTGTGAGGATGTGGAATCGCGCATCCACGTGGGCGTGTGACTCGCCACTTCTGTCCAGCTGGATATTTTTATCACTCTGTGGGGCAAAGGTGTTTCTCACTTCCACAGCTTTGAAGAGAGTCCTCCTTAAAGAAGGTGCTCACATCAACACATAAGCCCTCAACTGAGTTGGAGGACGCCCCTTGTGACGTGACAGCAGCCTGGGAATGACATGCTGGGAATAAGTACAAATATTTCTCACTTGATAACCCGACCTCCTTTATATGTCTGAAATCTCTCATGATGATTGTGTGTGGGAATACCACCTTCTTCAGATAATTGATGAAAGTATTAAGGAAAAGGACTACCGGTCGACATCCCTCAGCTATACGATTAATGTGTCAAGAGAAAAACTGGCTTGTTTTTGTGTCTTTACCATCAGTGGAAAAGGCATCCCTAGTTTCTCTGCTCTGTGGTTTTTACACCAGAATTCGGTCTCCACTTCCTTCCAGACCTTCACCAGATTCTTTAGATTTTTGTCTCACCAGATCACCTTCCTCTAGTATTGTTTTGATCTGTGCATTCTTCTTTCCCAAAGCCCACAGTCTCTTCTATTTGCTTCTCAGGTTAAAGCAAAATCATGGACCTGAACTTTGTCCTTCCACTGCACTTGACTGACTGGATGTCCACCACTCACACACAGGCTGCACATTCCACTTGGGCCAAGGAACTGTATGGTGCCTTCACTGGACACTCTTCCAGCCTTTCACTGAATTGCCACACTTGCCATTCTCTCTCACTTGACACTGAATTAGGTCTCTCACTTATAACTGAATTAGGTCTCTTTTGGTGCTTGGTTACAGAGTTACTGCCTTGCTAAAGCCATTCTAAAATAGTCAGCATCCCTGAAACAATATGGACAGGTCGTTGAACTTTGCCAAGCCCCTGTTCCTTCATCTGTAGAAAAAGGTGCTATTGCTCTCTTAGGGTTTTATACAAATTAAATTATAAATATGTAATAATACATAGAGTGATTATAATAATAAAGCATTTAGTACTACTGACCTTGTCCCAGAGTAGATGCTAGCTAGATACTAATTTCATTTGCTTTCCTGTCACCTTTATTTTTCCTGAACACTTAGTCCTTATCCATATGCCTGTACCTGACTTTTATACTTGTATAAATGTGTACATATCTATATATATACATATATACTTTTTTTCTGTTCAAAAATTCCATTTGGCTTTCTAATAGTTTCAATTTCTTTGCTGAGACTTCCTATTTTTTGTTTCAAGTGTGTTCATATTTGCTCACTGAAGCATATTTACGATGGCTACTTTAAAATCACTGTATAATTCTGACATTATTGTCATCTCAGTGTTGGCATCTATTGATTGTCCTTTTTAATTCAGTTTGAGACCTTCCTCGTTCTTGGTATGATGATGAATGTTCAACTGAAACCTGGACATCTGGGGTATTATGTTATAAGACTCTAGTTCTTGTTTAAATTTTCCTTAACTAACCTCCAGTGCTGTGGCAGTCAGGCACTAAAAGAATATGTCTTCCTGGCTGCTTATTAAAACCCCTTCCAAACTCTTCGGTCAGTAAGGAGATGTCCAGCCACCAGAGACAAACACACTCTCAGGAGGTGGCATGTCCCCTTTCAGGCTCTTGTGCTGCCTGTCAGGGGACTGCAATGGCAGAGTGGCTGCCGCTACACTTGAGACCCCTCCAGCTTCGGCTGCTCGGAGGGGCACAGCCAGGACCAACATTGTGGGAGGAGTCCCAGGGGCCCCACCCGTCACCTTTACCCACGGTCTAGCAGTGGTCTCCCGTGTCTAAGCTGTCCTTGGGGAAAGGACAACCTGTCTGACAGGAGGGTGCTAAACCCACTGGGACAATATTGGTTTTAAAGAGTGAGATCTTAGGGCACATCTTTCAGGAGGTCAGGACTGGTTAAAATAAAAGAAAAATACTTGTTCTTATATTTCCTACATGCCATCTTACCACACAGGTGCTCCTCAGACCCAGTACCTCTCACAGGGGAGCTAAATGTAACAGATGAGCACATAATGTGGGGAGAGGACAGAGGGAAAAGTGTCTATGGAAGCTGGCCCCCAGGTGCCCAGGAAGTCAGAGAAGAGGGGGTTGCAGAGAATTCTCTCCCAAAAGCTCACCAGGGAGCCAGGGTGTGGACAGGGCACCACCATGTCCTAGTCCTAGGATTGTGGCCAATGACCTTCTCCAGCCTGTTGCCTCGCGTGTGAAATGACAGGATGTGGTGTCCTAAAGGCACTCAGCGAGTGTGCCGTGTTTGGTGCCGGTGAAAACGGCTGGTCAGTGCACAGAAATAGAAACTACCAAACCACAAGTAAACTTGCTGTAAGATCTTGATTACACCAATTTTTCAGGAGTCTCTCTGCAGCCAACCTTTACTTTCTGAGGGATTAGATATGGGTGGACTAGTCATGTAATTTTCTGCCCAGTCTTTTCCAAATAACTTGATTTTGAATTAACAAGATAATGAGCCAGAAACTTTAAAAGAAGCAGAACCTTAAAACAATCAACAAATGGTTTTTAATCTAAAAGATGATGGGGGACTCAGAAAGTGATTGATGAAATAAGGTTTCCATGTACCTTGTGGTTGTTGTGCGTGGCCTTCACTGCGGCTATGATGCAGTAACTGATCCTCCAGGTGCCTGCAGCCACCTCTGCCTGCCTTCATTTTACCCTAGGTTACTCCGTGCTTCTGCTGGCCAACCCCAGTCCCCAGTGGACATTTATTTCATAGGTTGGTCCCCCAGCCTCTGCCCAGGACCCAGCTCTCCTATGCAGTGTTTCTGTGCTCTCCACACCCCACCCCACGTGGCTGGGCATGTGAAGGCAACGAGGTAAGAGGGGACCACTGGGCTGCCTGGACTGGCCACCAACCTGCATCTCCAGTGTCTTCATCACAGTGTCATGAAGCAACACACAGCCCTTTACAGATGTCATCCAGTCTTTCTGTGCTCTGCTGCCTGCTGCCTAGTACTGCCATTTGCTGCACACCTACTATGTGCCAGGTGACAGAGGAGTTCTTTATGTTGACCGCCTCATTCAGTCCTCACAACAACTCTGTTACCTGTCACCCCTTTTTACAGATGGAAAAGCCAAGTCTGAAAGAATTTAGGGCTTTGCTCAAAGTCATATACTTCATAACTGGCACAACTAGGGTTTTGCTCAAGAGCTTTCTGCTCCCATAGCCCTGTCAATCTACCCTGCCTCTGTCTTTCCCTTGGTGCCTCACTCACTGTTTCCAGCCCTGCTGGCCATGGGAGGTTGCACTGAGGAGGTGCTGCTGCCACTGTGGCAAGTGTAGACCCCTGACATTCTCCAGGTCAGGATGGATGTTCCGTGTGCACACCTGCTGTGGAGAACGTGAGTCTGCCCGGCCACAGAGCTTCTCTGAGAGGGCAAGGGCAGCAATGGGGGCCCAAGGGACTCTAGGATGTCACCACTGGAGAAAGGTGCCAAGGACCTGGCTTCAGAGACAGCTCCCTGGATACAGAAAAGCCAGCTTAATGGTCTTGATGCTCCTCCTGAGAAGGGCAAGGCTTCACCTCTCCAGAAAATCCACATGCTAAGGAGGACCAGATAGGAGAGTATTCCAGAGACAAAAGTATTCCAGTATTCCATACTGGTCTATGGGCCTCTCTGCTGCTCCAGACCACACCCTCAGTCACCAAACACAATTTACACCCCTTCCAAAGGGCAACATGCTGACTGTCAAATTGCAATCAGTGACAAGAGCCACAATCCAGTGCTTTACCTGCAGCTATTACCACTTCCCATGAAGACTCTCAATCTCACTGAATGCACGGAGGCCTTGGCCTTCTCTCTCACCATCACCCGTGAAGAACTGCCTACACACATGTTTTCTAAGGGATCAGAGCGGTAGGTCTATAACAGTTAATTTGCCACCTGAGCACCAATGCCTGGTTAGTGGGCAACATAAAGAACATACTGGAAACACTCCCATGAGGCACAATCCCTCTGTGAGCTATCATGCTAGCTCTATCCATTGCCCCACCGACCACCAGAGAGTGGAGCTCTGCTCCTGCGTCCACTGAGCACTGGCCAGTTCCTCGAGGCACAGCGAAGAACACAGCTTGTTGAGCCCCCCAGTCCCAACAACACAGACATTCTCATGGTTTCTACCAACTTTTATTAGTGTGCAATGAAATTCCATGGTTCCACTAAATAATCAGGACTCCACCTTCATATTTTCTTTTAATTGATGTAAGTTACATGTTATCTTGATTAGTTCTTCAGCTGATGGAAATATTCCGCATAATCTGAAATGTTAGAATGGAGAAATTTCCTTCCTCACCAAACGACAAAAACACCTTAATGTAGACTAACTAGAAAGTTTATTTTGAGGACAAATTTACCTTCAAAATATTCTTCCTATTGCCGAGTTTTTTCAAAGAAATAGCACACAATTCTGTTATTAGTCAAGTATTACTAAAGATGCCCATTTCAATAAAGGAATGGGCCCTTGAACCCTGATGCTGTGACTTCTAAACCATGATAACTTCCTTTTTGAAAATGTAAGGATTGAGCTTGGAAGAATGAGTATTTATAAATATCAGTATTATTGTGTGTTCTTCAGTTAGTAATGAAAATAATTTCTTTAAAAGACTTGCATTTTCCATTACTGTCTGCTTAATCATCATCACCTAAAACAAGAATGCTGACACAGAGGCATCCATGTTAACCACTTAATAAGAACTTCTGACATTTATTCAAACTGCTACTGATTCATAAGAGGAAAAGTTTAAAAAGAAGACGAGTGCATATAGCCTTCCCTTTAGAATACAGGAAACCATATAAAAGTATTGGCAATGGAATTAAAGTAACCACAATGCCGCTCTTAGTAGCATTTTCTACAGACAAAGACATTGACATGAAACGAGAAAGAATGTGAAATTAGGTGGTTGTAATAAAGCTTCACTATTAGCTTCACACCCTTCCATACAAAAGAATATGGTATTTTCACAAACTGATAGTTCAGCTTTGTAAGTACAGACGCAAAAGAAATGTGAACATACCCAAGA